TTTCCATTCATCACCGCAGCATGACAGGGAAGGAGCATCGCAGTCATGGAAGATCTGCTGCTCTGGCTGGGAGAGCCACGCATGGACTTAGATTAAAATCAGATAAAAACAAATAAGCATGAAAACAGAAATCTCTCATATATGTAGTTTGGGACAGCGACTCATGCATCAGCACTGAGCAGGAACTAGGTCCCACGGTATTATTACAGTCATCACAGAGAAAGACACACGGCTGCATAACACAGTGTCACAGTAGCCTCATAATAAAGACACCTCCAGGTTAATTAATCGTTCCTGGGCAGCACGGTTACTCCTGCAGCTACACAAAGCCTCGCAGAGGGACACGCACACTGGTGCTCCCCTGCCAGCTGCCCACAGCCCCCTTTCTCCCAGCCCCAGCACCCAGAGGACCGGTGGGGTTTTGGGGTTGCTTTACACTCTCTGTTCAGGAGCTTTAGCCTTATCAAAAGATCTGGCATGAAAACTGAGTAGCAGGTCACATGTAATAGCAACATACACAAAGGCAACGATTCTTCTATTTACAGTCAATCGTACTCAATGTCTTACAGCAAAACACAGAAGTGTCAGAGGGTGGAGGGGGGATCTCACAGTGAACCGGAGAGGAGCAGATGGAGCTGCAATGGCTTACAAGGAAATCAGGATCACCAAATTGCCCAAGACAATTGGCAACGTCAGTATAAATCCAAAAATAAGCACCACGTGGCCCTCTGCACCATGGTGCACCACCTCTCCCTGTTTTATGAAGTGGACTGAAAATTGTTTCCATGTCAAAACATTCACACAAGCGAAACATTTGTTAGTGCAATTGCCACGTTAGCAGGAACTGACACTACTATCTATAGCAGCAATAAATGTAAAAAAAGAGCCTGACATTTAACAGGAGACTACTTAAGGCATTTCCAGGAGTCTTTAGTATAGCTGAGACTGTGAGTGTTAATTTCCATAATGCCATGTTATTGTCATTAATGAATGTGCTAATGATCTCTTAATTCTTCATTTAGACTGATAATTGCTGATTAGTACCTTTGGGAACGGAGATCAACTGATTCATACCATCTTCCCGTCCGGCCCCAGGTTCTGAAGGTTGCGCCTGGGATGAACGTCCCTGTTCTGGACAGATGCGTATTCCCAAAAACAATCATTCTGAGACTCCCTCTTCCTATAGATTACAAGTTAAACTATTAGGCAGGGATAAGAGAAGGGAGAGAAGGCAGTGGGTACAGCAGATTTCCCCTCATGAAATCTGCTACGTGTACCCCACCATTCATTTAAAACGGCAGAAGGCAGAAGAGCCCTTTCCGAGACAGAAATAAGCACATCACAAAAGCCTAACTGGATATATATATAGCTGCTGCATCCATCATATAGCAGCAAAAGGTGTATATATACACATCTATATCTGCATACACACATATATACATATATATGTGTATATGGAGATATATGAAATTCCTTTATAAAACAAATTCTTTAGGGCAACAGTTTTCAATCAGTGGTCCTGATTCCTAAAGGTGAAATTGGATTACTTCTACAGGGGCCACAAACACATTCAAGCAAAGCGTGCGCTTCCTGCCAGTAGGCTGAAATCAGATTCTTGTCTCTGTTAAAAAATTATTCTAGGCCTAAAAGAAGAATGGCTGAAACCCCACTGTTTTATGAAATTCCAGCCATAAGCTCTAATCTTCAGTTAATTTCAAAGGATTCTCCATTATACTGAACCCTCTGGCAAACGGCATTTATTTCTGTTCCCTTTTAACCAGGGCTGTGTGCATTAATATAGACTCATTAATACTATGACCTCTGGACGTTATCTTAAATAAGAACATTAAAAGTTGTCCTTTTGGTTGGCTGGCTGCTTTTACAGTTGTATTTTAATACAGTTCCTTGTGTTTTGCTTGAAATGGAATTTGGAGGCTATATTACCAGTTGTGGCTGCACAAACAGCATTGAGGCCAAATATGATGTGTTCCAGCTAAACATAAATCACTTAAGTATGTCTTTTAGCTGTAATCTAAATTAATTCTTTGAAAATAAATTTATGGCTGTTTTATTATGTTTTTATGTAAACAAATACCCAGGAGCTACAAATATGCATCCCGCTAGCTGTGGGAAGTGCGTAGTTCTTGGAAGTAACATTGCTATTCCTCCCTTCCTGGCACAGGTAGAAATGGATTTGAAAAAACCATTGTTTAATAAATAATTCCTGTTTTCCCCTTCTCAGTTAGAATTTGGCTACACAAACCAGTCATGGTCACAGATCAAAAAATCTCCACCTGCACAGCATGGAAAGAGGAGAGAGAAAGGAGTTGTGAGTATAGAGAGGAAAGAATCACCCAGAGCAATTTCTACTTTACTTCTACCCCACTTGTGGCTGACCTGCCTTAGAGGAAGCCTCCTGGCCGGCTGCTCATTCCTCCTCTCCTGCCTGTGCCTGAAGGGCAAAGGGGTAAATACGAGTAGCTGGGAGTAGGCAGGAACGTTGGCAATAACAAGGTACGCTGCTTATTGTTTGCCGTGCCGTAATTTTTCATCAGGACTTTCAGAAGAGGGCGCTGCTCTCTGTTCTGCTCTCTTGAAAAACATTAGTTAAAATCAGCATTTAAAAATGGTATCGAGGATTTTGTTCATAGTTTTAATGACGCTCGCGCTGCCGTCTGCTGAATGCACATGTGTAGGTCTGCGCTGCTCCCCTGCCACCAGCCGCCCCGCGGTGACAAGCCTTCCCAAGCTGGCACCCAGCTGTGGGAGCTGCTGCCCGTGTGCCCGCTTGCTCTCAACACCAACCCAGGGGCTCTAAATGGGAACCCAAGGCAACAGGTATGGTGAGGAATTAAACGTCATTTCCATCCTGTACCCACCCCCTACGTACACGTTAACCCCACTCACTGCTTTTAGGCTAACCCATTCTGGTAATACCAATTCAGTAATTATAATTATCCAAACTGCATAAGGGATTCTTAACCCAGAAGAAAAAAGTTCATGCAAGAGGTTACTGCAGAAAAGAAAAAAAAATAACAATAGCTATCTGGGATTCATCCTTGTATAAGCATGCCTTAAGGCTGAGAAAGAAAAATATTTGTGCTTTTTGAATACTGCAGAAGCTTTAGCATTTTCTCTCTGATACCTAGAGACCTGTTTCCTTAACAATGCCAGTTCTAGAACACACAATGCACAGATCTGAGTCATGCGCTCCTTTTCAATATGTGCTACAGCCACCCCCCTTCTCCCCCAGGGTGCTGCTATGATGTCCTAAAACATGTAGTGAGTTCAGTTAACATATAAAGGTTGCCAGGTCCTGGGACTCATCTTTCTGCTATCTAGTTCCTCCTCTTGAGCTCCCAGCTCCTAGAGTGAAGTGATACATGACATTTCAGCTTTCATAGAGAGAAGGGAACAGTTACTGCTCCTAGCTCAGGGGAAAAAAAAATAAATCCTAAGCTCAAAATATATTTTTATTTAAAAAATATTCCATTATTCATACTGCATTTATTCCTTTTTTGATTCCTGATTCATTATTTTTGAATGATGAAGGATGAGAATATTGTCTGTATACAACACTTTTTCCCTTTTAAAAGCTGTGAAGAACCTACAATTCAGACTATAAACTCCCCTGGGAGAAACCACCATCTTCCAAGGATGTACTGCATGCTATGTATAGCTGGTACTCAGTAAAAACTGTTAATCTCCCAATTCTGCCTTCATAATTGTATTCTATTGTGGTAAGAAAAGAGAAACTCTTCCTACTCTGTGCTTGCATTTTAGCATGACGAACAGGTGCTCTTCACCGTTCTGCACAATTTAAAAATCAAAGTACAAAGCTTTATTTACACTAACACAGTGAAGTAACGTTCAGCAGAATTCTCTCTGGCTCCTTTTCTAAGGGCTATATTTCTTGGTCTGTCCATCCCCATCACAAAGTCCATGACAGAGCATGTGTAAATGGTTTATGGTCAATAAAACCTGCATTCACACATGAAGTCTGTATGAAATGGAGTAATTTGGACAGATGCTGGATAATTTATTTGGCCCTTCTCATTTTAGTGCCTGTGATTCTGTCTGCCTGGTACGTTAAACTGGCTTTAAGGATGGTTTTCTGTTGAAACTCAAGAATTAGAGATTTTTCCATATCCAACGACCACAATTCTAATGGGTTCCTAAATATTAGGAAAACAAATGACTGACCATAACCACGAATCAGACTTCTAAACAGTCACCTCTGAATAAAAATAATTCCAAAAAAATTCAAGCTAGAGAGGCAAATTTTCCTGGCATGTAAAGGCCCGTGTAGAAACGAGAGAACCACGTCCCCACTGCCTGGCTGCAGCACGCTCTCCGGAGACAATGACAAAGCCTCTGGAGGTGACAGGTGGTTAGAAGCTATTCTTTAAGACCTTTTCAGGCATATTTCCATTTTATTTATCTATCTGTCTCAAATTCAGGGAGGTTACAAAATCACCAATCAATCACTCCCCAGTAAAGACCAAAGCAAACAGTCCCTGTCAGTCATTCCTTCATAAATATAAGGGTGTGGTGATATGGAAAAGCAATGCCAGAACGAGGGACAAGAAATGAGCTGCCTCTCATTATTCGGCTGCACAGGATGCCCAGACTACTTCAAAATCCCGTCCCCTCCATAAAGACAGGGTTGCAATAAAGACTTCAGTGCTGACAATCAAAATTCAGAGGGGAACTGAGCCACGGAAAATTTAAGAGAGAAAGAAAGGAGATGAATAACCATATGAAAACTCTTAGATTCACAGATTAGCCATAATCAAGTTAAGGATTGCCTTCATTCAGTACCACCTATTGAATCACTATACCCGGCAGGCAAATTTAAAGCATCAAAACAGACTGCACAGTAACGAGTGCGTTAACATCAACCCTGCCTCTTTTTATCTGAGGGCATACATATTGCATAGACGTACAGACCCACAGCCATTTTTTCCCAGGCTTTGTTCCAGTTTGCTGCCTTTCCACAGCTAGTTCTTAGAAGCGCTGGTCCCGCTGTGCCCCTGTGCACCCAACGCAAAGTCCACAGCCTGGTGCACGCTGTGGAAGAGAAGGTGGTCCTCCCCCTCTTTGAAGAATTCTCCTCGGATCAGGGAACTCCTCACCGAAGGATTACACTGGGCCAGCAGCACCTGGACATCTATCTCCCTGTAGTCCTTGCAGACCTCTTTGAGCGTGCGTATTCCTGCCGTGTCCAGAAACTGTACTGCACAACAGTCAATCACTATTGTGTGAAAATCTAGAGGTTCAGAGACAAAATCCATGGAGATGCTGGTCTGGTTGCCACCAGAATCCACCTCTTTCTCCCTAAGCATTCTTTTTGCTGCCTTTTTCTTTGCTGCCTTGACCCAGACAGGGTTGACGCCAGTTTGCTTGTACAGGGTGGATTTAAAGCACTCTTTGTTGATGTAGTAGAGGGGTGCTTCAAAACGGAACACCACAACTCCTGGCTTGGTTTGCAAGTTCTTGTAAGCAGACAGGGATTCATATGTCTCAGACTCTGCTACCCAGCCAAGCAGCGGTGCCTCTGGTCTCTGAGTTCGGAAGATGACACAGAGCATAGAGAAGCAAACACCAACCAGAAGACCAATCTCGGTACTGATGAGTGCTGAGGCTGCCATAGTAACCAGCCAGATCACTGTGTCCACTCTGCTCAAATGCCACATTTTTGGCAGGTCCTTGAACTTCCGCAGGGCTCCTCTGAGGTTTACAATGGTTATGACAGCAAGGACACATTTCTGAAGGGAATAAAATAAAGGTGCAATCACAAGGAGGACTAATAGGATTACCAAACTAGTCACCATGCCAGACATTTGTGTCTTACAGCCTGTGGACTCTTTGACAAGAGTCTTGGCAAGAGCTGCGCTTGTTGTGAAGCAATGGAAGAAAGAGGGAATGATGTTGCAGAAGCCAATGGCATACATTTCCTGGTTGGCCTTCACGGAGTAACCATGCTTCTTGGCAAACATCTCTGAGAGGGAGACAGTGATGGCAAAGCCTATAATAGCTATGGGGATAGCATCCAAAGCCACATTAGGAATCAGGTTCCAGTCTGGAGGGCGAGGTGGCAGAAACCCAGTTGGGATGTGTCCAGCAACACTCGAGCCATAAGTCTCTCTCAGCTTCCCAAAGTGAGATGCCAAAGTAGCTGCCACAATCACGACTAGTTCAACTGGTATTGGAGCCTTGAGCCTGGATTTGAAATGTTCATTAAGCTCTTTGGTTGGGATAAGTACAAGAAAGCACAAGAAGCTGGTGATGAGATCGCAGATGTTGGTTTTGTGTATGTTTCTGAAGATGTTTGTCCACGTGACTATGAGGGAGCCGATGCCACTGCTCCGTGGAATGTCTAGGCCCAGGAGATACTTGGCTTGTGAGGTTAGGATGGTAAAGGAGGCACCCGTGACAAATCCACTCAGCAATGAATCGGAGAGGTACACTGAGACAAAGCCCACTTGAAAGAAACCCATGGCAACCTGGAAGGAATCAACCACACAACAGATTAGGACGCAGATCTTACAGATGTCATCACTGTGGGGCTCTGCAGGGAGGTGGGATAGACGCAAACCCACTGTGCACGGCCCTAGAGGACGAGGCACGATCTGAGCAGGGAGAAAAGAGTCTCCAGCATTCAGCCACTCCTGGTCCACTGCACTTAAACAAAATGCATTCCTAACAGAGCAGGCTTTTTTGGGGGAGTCTCCGTACTCTGAACTCGTGTTTGTCATTGCTTATTGGTTCAGTTGTAACTCCTAGTTGCCCCAGCAGGCAAAGAAACCCACAGAACAAAGCATTTGAAATACTAGCTACTTTTGCCATTTCTCTCTCAAATTCTTAGAATCTCTGTGAACTTTGCAGGGATCCAAAACCTTTTTGGTTGTCTTTGTCTTACACTTGAGCTCACAACCTGCAATAAAAATACAGCTTGTGGCATGACAGCTGTCCTTTGCACTGCATAGTTTGGTGCATCTGACTCAAAGTATATGAGCTGCAAACTCTTGTGATGCAGACTATATAAACAGAGATGAATTTTTGAAGTGCCTTGTCATTCATTTTCATTAATGCTAGCTAAACAGACAAATCCTTGGTGCTCTCTCATGGGAATGACTGGTTTTATGGATACCTACCCTACACATGCGTCTTTGCACCTGGTAAATGTCCCTTCCTCCCCATCAACCTTCATGCCAAACAAAGCATGGACCTTCTCACAGCAGTTTGCTGGAAACCTTTTCATTCCCTGCACTGGCTAACAGGGCTGTCTACACTGCTATCTGAAGACTGCAGGGTAGAACTTACAGATATTAAACTTTAAGTAGTGTCAATCTGATATACCCTATTAGGTAGGTGAGGCAAAATAAAGGCGGCTAGGATCATGGCTGGAAACTTCGTAAGAACCGCAAAGCATTACTGAAGCGAAGGCAGGTTTGGGACCTGGACTGACTGGACACCAGCTCAGAGCCAAGCTCTAAAAAGGCACCCTCACAGCCTTGGTAATTAAGTTAATTCGAGGTTTCTCCAAATATAAAACATTAGGAATAATTGTCTTAGCTAGTTATGCTGTAGGCAACTGGTGTGAGCAGGCTTGCTTTTTGCAATTTGATTGTAAAGTTTCTAATACAAAGAATATGTGATTTTGGTTGGAGCTTCCAAAAAAAGAATATTTGCGGGTGTGAAGACCTATTGGTTAGCAGGCAAAGAGACAACAAGTAGAACACGTCTAACATTCAGAGGGACTTAAGACAAAGTAATCCAACTTCTTCGTATAAAGAAACTTAATTGTACTTGCAAAGAATACTAAGCGCAATTCACAACTCCAAAACAGCATCCATCCTACACTGATGAAACACAAAATCCATTGTACCTCAGTAGTCCCAGAATATTTCTGAAATTACTCAACACCGACTTGCAGTACAAGCAAGTCCCAGGTTGTGTCTAAACCCAGTGTTTTAGAGTATCACAGGTATGCTTCCTTTTCCATTCCTCTGTAGTTGATTAGCTATCACCCTGGAGGTCACTGTAAGAACAAATGAATGTGAACTCACAAACTGAAATACCACAGCTCTGCAGTACTGTTAAAACTAAATCCTTTCTGGTTAATGCATGACACTCCTAAAACAGACATCTGTTTTAATTTCAGCAAGCAGTGAATTCTAGGAAGTAGACACAGAGTGGTAAAATATTGTTAATGCATTTTAATACGGTAATAATTAAAGGTTTTATTTCAAATATATTTTATCATCTCAGTATTATCCTTTTCATACAATGGTATTGTTTTGGCTTTGAATGGGCAAACAGCAAAGTTTTACAAGCACAGTGACAAATAAAAAGAAACTGGAGATACTTTTACTGTCCAGATTATTTTTTTTTATAAAAGGAAAGGCAAACGACTGACGTCTGAAATTAAAAGCTAACACGCCACATTTTGACCCAATGAAATGGAGCTCTAAACTATAAGCCAGCAAAAAAAGAAAAAAAAAAGCTTCAGGCCACAGCAAGGAAGGTGGTGAGCAGACTGTGTAAGAGCAGCAGGTGGGTATGTACAGGTCTGTACAGTCTCCAGAGTAGCAACGCAAGCAGAAAATGCTATTAAAAAAAAAAGGAGGGGATACAGAGGAGTTTCTTGCACCACAGTAACTGGAGACCTCCAGTCCACTTCCCTGGAATGCAGATTGAGGACACGTACAAGCCCAGCAGGCTGTTCACGTGGACAATCACCTAAAGAAGAATTAAAACTATTTCCACATAGTACCTGTTTGTCCACCTTCTCTTACCTGATAAACTCCAGCTATGAAGGTCATGGTGGCTCCCACTGTAATTGCATAGCAGCTTTTATCACAGAGCAGCTTCTGCGATGTCTGATTCACAGGCGAAAGGGTGGTGTTTACATACACTGCTGTATCTGTGAGGATGCTGGGCACAGCTGGCTCTATGTCGTAGCCAGCTCTCTGTATTTCACGATCTACCACTTGTCCCACCATCAGGCAAATCACACCGAAGATGCCAACTGAGATGTGGCGGGAGGTTCCAAATATGAAATAAATAATGCTAGCGAAAAAAGATGTATAAAGGCCATAAATAGGCTCCTGTCCAGCCAAGAGAGAATAGGCAATTGACTGTGGAACTAGTAAGACCCCCACAATCACACCAGACATTATGTCTCCCAGTAGGTACTCTCTTAGTTTGTATTTAGGAAGCCACTGCAAGACAGGAAAGAAACTAAAAACACAGTCTTTAACTTTGGCTGGAGTGCAGCTGCAAGTTTTCTTTGCTTGCTTAACCACCAGAGACTTCACGCTCCTCTTCTTCTCTTGGGGTTCCAAGAACATTCGGTGATGGAAACTGCGTTTAGCCTCGTCATCTCCTGGCATTTCAGTCACTGAACAGACGTTGCTGAATTCTGCCATTGCTGCCACCTTAAGGACTCCTTAAAAACACACAAAAAGACCGTTTTCATTAAACCATAAATGAATATGCTGCGTGAGACTTTTTAACGGAGTTAATACAGTACATATGAAAAGCAAAGGCTAAAAAAGTCTTAGTTAAACTCAGAGAAAGCAATTTCCAAGCCGACTTGGAAAGAGCCTCCCCATTACATCCCTGTTAAGCAAGGAATCACCTTCCCTAGGAGGGAAGCCAATATCCCATAGAATAAACCCGCTGCTGGCAATGTTGTGAAATGGAAAAGAATGCAGCAACACTGTCTCTCTGTGAGGCTTCCTTGATAAAAATCGCTATCTGCAGTCTGTTTCACTGCACGTAGACACAAGGTTTATTGTCGTCCAACAGTCACTGCAATTCAGTTGCTGAAAATTAACTACAATTAGTATATCTGTAACATTGCACAGCTTGGTTTATTTTTTTTTTTTAAAAAAGGTGATTGCATCTGCCAAATACTGTAAAGATTTGTTACCTAAAAAGATGCAATCTTTTCACAGTGGCTTTATTTCAGCCAGTGACACATTGCAAGGAATGCTCTTCACACTTTTTAAAAGCTGATTTTCAAGTAAATTACATCTAACCAAAACAATACACACAAGTGGAAAAAACATTAGCGGGCACAATGTAAGGTAGGCGGAAGCCTTCTGCCAGAACACGTGCTCTAGTACAGGCTGCCAACAAACAGTACAACAAGGTGGTTGTATCAAAGCACATTTACTACTGGAAACGCATTGTCTGAATGTGAAAGAACAAAGACCTGACACAACAAGCCCTAATGAACCTTAGCAACATCAACAGTGATTGCTAGTGTTCATACAGCACTCCTGGTTTCCAGAAAACATCCAAAATCCTCCAGAAGACTCTCTTTCAGTCACAATACCTGTACAAACAGTCGTGAAATTTCAGCAAGAATCCCATTCACCTGGTGCTACAGTGGAGTCAAGGCCAGAGACAGCAGGAGAATCCTGGAAAGTCTAAGTCCCAGGCTTCCCCTCCAAACACAGCCTTGAAGTCCCGGAGCGCTAATAACGACATACCCCTTAGATGCTAATTACACTTTCTCTGAGCAGTGCAAACATCAACCAAACTAATGTTCTATGCAATGTTTACAACTGAATTAATTACCAAATGGGTATTGGAGCTAGCGGTGCTGAGGATGCCACCAAAGAGTCATTCTCAGAATTTGTTTGCTTCATCACCATTTCACAAGTAGCTATAAAGCATTCTCTGCTACTATCGCTTCAGCATGAGCATCAAAAACACATGAGGGGAGAAGTGAGAGAAGTCAGTTTAAGTGCAGTGCTTGAACTACCCGTTTCTCCTGCAGCCAGCCCATTACAAGGCACTGATCCTACAGCTAACAGAGAGGAAATGCCTTCTCTCAGACCTTGGTCTAGCTGGCTAGAGCGTATGGTTTCCATTCTTTCATTCCAGGTTAGATGCTGTCACATAGAGGTATCCGAAGAAGTGCCATGCATCAGCCCTACATAATGGTTTACACACAGCCGTGCCTCCAGCAGGCTGCTAGCTCCGAGAGAGATGAACTTCCTTCCGGCTAGAAAGACAATACCAACCCAACTATCTACTGTCTTAAAACAGCCTAAGCAAACAATCCTAACCATAGCAAAGGAACCCACATGAGAGTAGAAGCAGCTACAATACCTGGTGTTTAGACTGGCTTCTCTTTCCAGATAAAAATATTCGGAGGTTGCTGGAACAGCCCTCCAATTGAAAGCAACTCAACCCGAGTAATCCAACTCTTCCACCTTACACTGCAGTGTACTTCTCCCTAGAGCTACCAGGCTACAGCATGCAGAGGGCTATCTAAAGTCAACACACAGGACAGATGCCAATAGATAGCCAACAGAAAACGCTGCATTTTATCTTCTGCTGCATGCTAGGACTCCCAAAAGGTGTTTTCATTTACTACAGACCCAGCCAGTGTCTCTCTGGCGGGTAAGCTCCTGCATCCTTTCAGATAATTGAACACAGCTCGCTCTTTGCTAGCCTGCCACTGGACTGCTACTGAAAAGGAGCTGTGTTTTCAACAGAGACCTCCCTGGCTCCAAAACTGTCTCAATGGCATCAGCAGGAAAGGATTTTCTGTGTACGATAGGGACTGTATGCCTTCCTGTTATGATATCATGACCAACACAATGCATGCTCTGTTACATGCTGGAGCAGACTGAACAGCATTGCCAGGTCTCAAGCTCTGCCCAATACTTTATTAATACCTACCTCTCATTCTTCACACCTACCACATATTTCTAGCAACACATCAATGCTTTTCTCCAGCTCCTGCCCTGCTCCACATTCCCATACCTCCAACTCTGTGCCTAATTCATCTGAACTGCACATGGGGTCTGCAGGGTGGTCTGCAAACCAGAAAGATGAAAACAGCTCTATGCACAACAGCTAGGGAGAATGTGCCTCCCCGCGGCTGCTGTTCTGAGCATAGGCAGAGGAGCTGCTTAGGGAAAGTCACACTTCCCCAAAAAAGGACAAATGAAGCTTTAATGCACTGTTACGTCAAGTGAGACCTAATAGGAAAATTCCACAGTTTCAACTCAAGTCCTATTTCTGGCATCTATGTCCTTCTCTTGGTCCTGGCTCTTGTAACCTGGAGAACAGAGTTCTGGATCCAAGATGAATCCACTCAGAACTTTAATAAATACATTTGAAAATTTAGCCCTAAAAATGTATGTATTTGTCTCTATATTCAATTTCATTAGTCAAGTCAATCACCTAGTACAATAGAAGGTAAGAGAACAAAGCTCCAGTTTTTCCTACCTGCCTTCTTAATTATTCTAAACTTCTATCTTACAGCCTCCTGGCCACGTAGAATTACTGTATCACATACCTATACACACTTTATAATAACAAACTTGCCTTGGCCAATGCCTTCCAATTCAGTATCTTTAATGTATTTTAGAATAATTATAGGCTCCAAAGAGCCATATGAAGGATTAGGAACTTTACAGTCAGGAAAGTGCAATCACTGCAAGAAGTGACATACTCAAGATGCTCCAAGTGTGATCTCTATATGAGAATCCATCCCTACCTTCCAGATATCTAATCTCACCCACCCGTACAGTATTGCAAAGTCCGCTCAGGGATTATTTATAGCACTTACAAAAAACATCAACTACTACACAATGAGAATGAAGTGAATATAGCGTACAAAAGCACGTGTCTGCAGTACTCTGCATAAGCACATTCTGTAGTTGTATTTGCTCAAGCAGCTTCATTCATTTCACAAGCACAGAGTTACACATTAAAAAGCTTTTCACTCAAAGCTCAGCAAATCAATACTGTAAAATCTGAGGGAAAAATTCAGCCCAGACTACTTCATGTGTAGCAAATTACTTGAGGTTTTTTTTCTGAGATTTTTAGTAAAGATTTTAGTAATGAAAATCATTCCAATTCCCTTCTCCCTCATCTAGGACTTACAGACAGCTCAAACCTGGGAGTTTTTCTTAACGTGTCAGGGAACTCTGACATGAAACCCAGATAGTTCGGTTTAGTTTTTTGCAGTGCTGTAAAACGTCCGCATAGTAGATGATACCTGTTTTTTTTCAGTCATGTCTAGACAGTAGAGAAATGTTCTAAGTAAAAAGTTTTTTGGCTACTAAACTCTGACCATATACTGGATCTTTGTGTTGACCTTCAGGACAGCTGTCTCTACGTGGCATGAAAAGGGCCTTTCATCACACAGTCACTGCCTCTCGCGATGTCAGGGCACTAGGAAATGACACAATTTCCAATACTCTTTTCACCCTTAAAGCGTTGCTCTATACTATTTTTGTAACTGTTTAGCCCAAGCTTGCCTAGTAAAACTGGGTTTTGTTCTTAAAAAAAAAAACCAACACCCTTTGGTTCAGTATACTGAAAGATACTCTGTATATTTAACTTGGAAAAGGAGCTACTGTGCTTTTTATTTTGAAAGCTGCTATTTATGTACAACTCATTTGTATGCCTAGAATTCACTGTTCTCAACTCTTTTTGGCCTGAGTAAGGTCTTCAGAGGATGCCTCATTGCCATAAAGCTTTACTTAAGATACAATAAAAAGACTACAACACAGAACTGAGGAAATTTCCAGTATCTCTGTTATCAAGTGACTGCCATAAAATAAAGGTATGGGGAGGCACTGCATTCTTGAGATCTAATGACTTTACAGACTATTTCTCCATCTCACCTGGGCCATTCTTACTGGTCCCACAACATGGCAGAGGTGAGCTAGCATCTGCCTAGCGTCTGTCTTTGGGGAAACACTGCCTGCAGCACAAGGCCTTGCTGGCTTGGACTTCACTTCCCTGTTGCAGATCACAGTCACCTTAACAGTAAAAGAATAACGAATTGTGAAACTCACTCACCTGCTGAAATAACATACTACAAGCTTAAGACATGAGCACTTCAGAGGAAGTGAAATCAAAAGTGTTTTTTGTATAACATTGATCTCTGTTTTCCAGATTACTTTTCTAAATTTCACGTGCATGAGTTGTCACTGTATGCGATCACTACCCACACTCAGGTACTCACCTGCTAGACACGAGAAGTTGCATGCACTTAAATGCACACACTTAAAAAGTAATGCATAAACACATAACCTAAAGAGATAAGAACAATTTTTTAAGAGATGCAAAGGAGAAGTAAGCGAATCAGAAATCCAAGTTCCACATGAATTGGAGTTGGGCTACTACCTCTGGGTCCTTGGAAAACCTCACTCTAAGAGTATAAAAGGAAAGCATATCACAACATTTTGATAACTAAATTTTCATCCTTACTCTTGTTGGACAACAGGCTTTTCCAAATAATTTCTCAACTGTTGTGGAGCAACAAGGAAATTCAATATTGCCATGATAACACTGAGATGGGCACTGGAACACCACTGCATGTACCTTGGAAGAAAATTCAGATTTTTGACAAAATCCTTAACATCCTCCAACAAAACATTCAAGCTACAAA